CCCCCCCCCCCCCCACGCTCCCATGCCTTCTGCATTCCAGTCCAAGAGCCACCCCCCCTCTTCCTTGGAATTCCAAGATACCGCCTGTGGTATGGTATGGATATTTTCTGGAATCACCCAATTGTTTAGTTTTCTGTAGAAGACAGTGTAGACCATATCCAGTATTGTTTTATTCACTCTTGACAAATTTATATTTAAATTGCATGGAGAAAATAGGTGCTGATTATTCATAGGTTAAGTCTGAATTTTATGGGGCTATTTTCATGTTGTCAAAATGTACATCATATTTTTACTTTTCTTCTAGAATTATTGGAAAGCATGAATTCTTCAGAGTCTCCCTCATTACCAGCAGAAACTGAAAAACAGATTGTTAAACAAGGTAACATTAAAATGTGAGGAACTTTCACAAAAATACATTTTTTATCCTTTTCTTAGATTTCAATTGCTTTATTATTACTTACAGAAACACCAGTTACAACACAAAAGCCAATAAAACGAAGAAAGCGTGGGCCAAGGCCACTTGTCAAATATCGAGGTCAGTGCAACAAGTAGTGCAAATTTGTTTGTTCACAGGCAAAGAGACTAAAGCCTGGTTCTCATATGCCGCCGACATACCTGGGACATTAGCCACCAGCATGGCCTGGGACACCATTACAGCATATGTGAACATTTATTGCCAAATCATAATCTGTCTCAGCCATTGACTGCAAAGTTGAGCCGAGTTCAACTTAGCAGGCAAGTTGGCAGCTGTCGGCAATGAAAATACTTTATGTCGACATCATCTGCAGATGCAATGTATGATGTAACAACTCGATTTTTCCCACAGTTTCATATGCTAATTTGAGTACATTGGCGATCCATCGCAGATGTGCCAGGGACCCACTGGAACAGATCACAGAACGTTGTCAGTTGCAACTGGTGACAGGTCGGTGGGATATGAGAACCTGGCTTAAATATGGACAAATTTTGACATGCCTCTTTGTGTCCTTGATTTATTATTCAGACTTTCCAAAGGAAACGCCCGAGATGAAATTCTGGCTTCATGTTTTTTTTGTTCAGTCGCAAATCACAGTCAAGTCCTTAACATGCACGCACGACATTATGCTGCTGACCAAAAGGAGCACAGCCTCCAGGGACAACAAATACACTTCTTCGGGACGTCCTTCGGGACTTAAAATGGAAAGGAAAAACACAAGTAAATGTTTAGGTGGCCCAAGAATGGAAGATGAAGGTGTACAGAATGCTCAAACCTTTCTGGTGAAGAATTTTCTTTCCTTTAACTGATGCAAAAACACAATGATCGGAGCGTTTTCAAGTAAGTTTTGAATACACGGATTCAAAGCACCTTCCTGGACTTTAGAAAACAAAGATTGCAATGTACAGTATTAATTCGAAGTTGCATTCCACTTTTAGAATGATTGGTAAACCCACGGCCGATAAAATGCCTGCAAAAGTCGTCGGCATTATAAACTAGAGTGAGGAATTAATTTGAACATGCTGTCATGCTGGAAAGCTTGTCTGCGAAATTTTGAAAATTTTTTGCTTTTAGATAAGGTTTTTTTTGCCTCGTCATGGATAAAAGTGTATTGTTATTGAACTTCCCGTCACCTTTCCTTCATTTGGTTGCCTTTATTTGGGAATTTTTAAAAGGGAACAGTATTTTTACATGTTGGATTTCTGCATATAAAATTTACGGCGACCTCCGCAGTTTGTTTGTTTAGTTTATTCACTTCGTTCAAATATATTTTTTGGAGTTTTATTCAGCAACTACAGAATTCCTGAGAAAAGAACTAAGTGGGTACTAATTTAACACAGTTGACATCACAGGAGGTCCTTTCTACCTGTATCATTTAGAGGAATTTTCAAAGCATTCTCATACATTGTCTTATAAACAGCTAAAATTGTAACGCAGTTGCCAACAGCATAATGTGTGCCACCTGTGTTGACATACGATTTATCTCAAAATAATTGGCTTGTTGACTTACAACTTTCATCTTTCTTCTGCGCTGTATTATTTCGTCGCATGGGGAAGAAATAATCAGATTTCATGTTTTTAAATTGGTTTTTACACGTGCTTTTCGCTTTTATTTTCTGGTGTTTTCTCAAATGGAAATTCTTTTGTATTTGGTTTTGTTTTGTCCTCCGAAGTCAATAATTAACTCATTTTAGCGTATTCAATTTTCTCATTTTTT